TGTGTGTGTGTGTGTGTGTGTGTGTGTGTGTGTGTGTGTGTGTGTGTAGTGGGAGAGAGACAAGAAGAGAGAAAATTTATTAGATCTGTAGCTCAAAATAGAAACCTATAAAATAAGGAGTCTGTAAGGTATGGAAAATATTAAGATTATTTATGTTACTGATGTTAAATCTGTTAATTATACTGATAAATTATACCTTTCATCATTGTGATTTGCTGCTTTAAAAACGTATAATATTTCTGTTCATCCACAATATTATCATGATACAATTCAAAGGATTTTGGATTATTTTAATGTTAGGGTACTTCACAGCAACCTGTATTTATTTTCTCTGCATCAAAAATTACATTTTTGTGCCCCTGTGAACCATGCAGAAATTGATCTGCAATACATGTGGAGTCTCTAAGGGTATATTTAAATTTAGTAATTTTATTGCTAACTGTGAAGTTAATCTGCACTGTATGCATTCTTTTCCCCAGGAAACTGAAGTAACAGTTCAAGCTAAACAACCGGATGTGGAAAGGCTTTTGTCTAAAGGGTATCATTTGTATAAGGAAAAACCAAGCACTCAGCCAGTGAAGGTAATGAAGCAACCTCTAGCATTATCTGTTACCTCATAATAGGCTAAGCTTCCCCATTGTACACTTGCCATTGCCATTGTCTGTTTAGAATCTTTGAAATAACTTGTAAGGAAATATTGGCCATACTATAGTTATAGAACTAAAGCTCTCCTCTGGATCAACATATCCTATTTACATAAAGGGATCTTAAGTCTAATAACAAGTCACTGCATTAAAGGATTTATTTCTGTCCTGATGGGGTACCATCAATACAAAAAGTAGTACCACCTTCAAGGTAGATTAAATTCTTTGAGACTTGATAACTTTGCTTTCCCACCCTGATACTCATCATATTGTTTGGTTTAATTCAACTAAAGCCATTGCAGCATGTTGTCTTCAGCAGCTGTAAAGAATCACAGTATGGTCTAGGACCTTTTCTTGCTCTATTGCTTTTGCTTATGAAAGAGAAAACCCTGTTTCTGGGCATCAGTACTTTATTAGGTCAGGAATTTTTAGTGAAATGTTATATAGTTGCATCATTCTTCAGTAAAAAACCTGGCCTGGGTGAAAGTTTTCTACTTCCTTATTTTCTATGTGTACATTTTAAACTCTAGGATACATTTATTCATAGGATCTTACCTGAGGAGAGAAATAGAAAGCCTGGTCTTTTACAAACAAACAAATTCCCACTCAATGGCCTCCATTTACAATTGAGAAGCCAGTGATAAATGATAAATAAATGTTAGGTAGAGTTTATCTTGTTCTCCATACCTGGCCAAAATTTTAACAGCTTCCACGATGATAAAGGTTTCTGAGAGCCTGTAATGGTGGCTGTTTATTGATCAGTTTTGATTTCTCAGCTAATATTGCTGGCTGAGATTTAAGAAGGCTTATTCTCATGTTCAAAACCATTCTTAAACAGTGCAGATCAGTAACCTCATTATACAAAACCAGTTTGTCTTTGCAAATAAAATTATAAGAACTTAGAATCTGACTGAAAAGTTATTGCTTAGTTTCAATGTACTTGGGCCAAGGTTTAGTTCTAAAGAATTGTTTCTTTTCCCCACAGTTTACTTGGAAGTTTTCTTTTTTGTTGTTATTTTTATTGGATATTTCATTTATTTACATTTCAGATATTATCCCCTTTCCCCATCTCCCCCATAAATCTCCTATCCCATACCCCCTACTCCTTTTTGCTTTTATACAATTTTAATTACATGCAAGTATTGAGATCAGTTCTAAGTTGAGTAACTAGCATTACAATAGATGCAAATAGTCAAAAAACAAGCAAAACAATAAACACAAATAGTAAAAAGAACAAACAAGGCAATGAAGTTCCTTGATCATTTCTGTGAACACTATTTTTAAGGGCTTATCAAGATGACCAAAATATCTGAGCCTACTTCCCTGTCCTAACCTAAAGTCATTTTCGTGTCTAAAGCCTACTTCTTTGTTTTAGCCTAAGATTTAGATTCCCACCTGAACTTACTTCTTTGTTCTAGCCTAATATTTAGATTCCTGTCTGAAATTACTTCTTTTTTCTAGCCTAATGTCAGCTTCCTGTCTGAAGCCCATTTCCTTGTCAATGGCCAATATCAGATTCCTGCCAAGGAGCCCATTTCCTTGTCCTTGGCCAATGTAAGATTCTTGGCAAGCAGCCACAAAAGCCCTCCACATCTCCCCTTTTTTATTTAATAAACAAGACTGAGCCTGTCTTAGATCATTCTGCCAGGAATGCCTCCCTTACCCATCGTGGAGTATGCATTATCAAAAGCAATGCAGTTCTGTCTTAGGTTGGTAAGGCTCTGTGCAGAATCTTTCAAATCCTTGGCTTGCCAGCCTGTTAAATTAATAAGTCTGTCTGGGGGTCCATTTTCAGTTTCAAGTCATGTACTTTGGCTGCCAAAATGTTAATATTGTTAAAGACAAGCTTTCACACGATGGGCAGGAATAAAAATATTCCCAGAACTAAAATGAGCTAACATGCTCAATTTATATATGCCATTTTTGATGCTTGACCAAAATGGACATACTGACTTCAAGCCATTGATAATTTTATCAGTAGCATCTACTGTATCAACACTCAGCAGAGCAGAAGTCTTTAAATTCATAAGCTTACTATGCAAAGTTAAAACATCCAGAGAGGTGTTAGAATTATGCAAAATACCCTGAAAGTGACTTTAAAGTTTTTCCTAATTTTAATGACTATCATTGTAAATTTTAGAAGTAACATAACTCCATTGGTGTTTGGCATGACACTTGAGATAGCTACTTACTCTTAAACACTGAACCTCCTCCCATAATTTGAATAAGATAAAGAGCATCAATCCTACATTCCAAATGCCTATCTAAATCCTCTTGTATACTTGAAACCTTAGTAATATTTTTTTTTACTAAATTATTTACAAAAGTAGCTGTCTTAACTTCTTGTGTCAAAGCAATTGCAGAAGCAGTGATGCTAGCAATTAATATAATTAAAGCTGTTATACCAGCAATAATCAAGCCCACTACCCTTCTGTTTAAAGCCTAACTCACTTCTTCCAGTACTTGCAAAATATTTTCAAAATAAAAAGGTTCTGTAATATGCAGGGCAATAAAAAATTAGCTGGTTGATAGCCTACCATAACAGACATGCCAGGTTTCAACACACTAATACAATTAGAAAGTGTACAATCCGTCCAACTTACAATAAATATTGTAGAAGAAATAAAAATAATTTTAACTTGACAATTAAAAGAGTCTTAACACATACACTAACACTTATTTGAAATCTAGATCCTGTCCCAATTTTATCTCTTGCTAACATAACATCATAGAGAACTGCAACAACTTCCAAATATGTCTCTGAATATGTCCAGAACCAGCCTTCCCAATGAAGACTGTTATTTCCAATATTGGATTGATTTCTAGTCCAGTCCATGATTGAGCCCGAATAACTGGTCATATTTAAGAAAAATACAAGAGTCATTATAGCTTCTCTTTTTGATTTTCTATTTCACACGGTCTAAAAACTTGAGGCAAGGCAGCTTGTCCCATCTGGGATATAGGCAAGCAAATATAGGTCAGCAACATGTGTCTAATACAGCTTCCCAGTCACCATTGTCAGGGCACTCAGCAAGCTCACAGGTCAGCATCATTCTTTGTCCCAGCATCACCATGTCTCATCAGTCACTCTGGCTGCCACCATTCTCCTTCAGCATCTTACAGAAAAAAACAAAAGCATGCCCTCTTCCCCATATTACATACCTGATTGGGATCATGCCACATGCTAGTAAGTGGATCCTTACTTTTTACCTAGGCATAAGTATGACTAGATGTAGGGTGACATAGACACTCAGGAGAAAGCTCCTTGGCATCCAATTTTTTAAAAAAATTAAAATAAAAAGAGCACGATTTAAATAAATTTGTGGTATATAGTGATGTACCTCCCCTTTTTTATTTTATGAAGATATTGTTTTAAAGTTCCATGGGCCACTTCCCTGATACCTTGTCTTTGAGGATTATAAGGAATCACAATAATATGGATAATATTAAATTGTTGACAAAAGTCTCAAATGCTCGACTACAATAGCCCGTTCCATTATCTGTTTTTTTTATTGGATATTTTATTTATTTGCCGTTCAGATGTTATCCCCTTTTCCCAAGCCCCCCAAAACCTCTTATTCAATCCTCCTTCCTCAAACTTCTATGAGGATGTGTCCCCAACCATATGCTCATTCCTGCTTCTCTGCCCTCGAATTTCCCCACACTGGGGCATCCAGCCTTCCAAGGACCAAGTCCCACCTCTCCCACTGATGCCCAACAATGCCATTCTCAACTACATATGCAGCTGGAGCCATGGGTCAATCCATGTGTGTTCCCAGGCTGGTGGTTTAGATACTGGAAAATGTGTTTTTTTTTAATTATTGGACATTTTATTTACATTTCAGATATGATTCCCTTTCCACATTTGCCCCCTACCCAAGAACCTCCTGTCCCATCCTCCCTCCTCCTGCTTCTGTGAGGATGTGCCCCCACCGACCCACTCCCAACTCCCCACCCTCAAATTCCTCCACTCTGGGGCATCCAGCCTTCACTGGACCAAGGGCCTCCTCTCCCACCTTTGCCTGACAATGCCATCATCCCCTGCATATACAGCTGGAGTCATGGGTCCCTCCCTATGTGCTCCCAGGCTGGTGGTTTAGACCCTGGGAGTTCTGGATGGTTGGTATTGTTGCTCTCTCCATGGGGCAGCAAACACTTTCAGCTCCTTCAGTCTTCTCTCTCACTCTTCCATTGGGAACCCCAGTTCTATGGTTAGCTGTGAGCATCCACCTCTGTACAGATTAAGCTCTGGCAGACCTCTAAGGAGACAGCTATGTCAGACTCCTGTCAGCATGTACTTCCTGGTATCCACATCAGAGTGGACTTTTGGTGACTGCACATGGGATGGATATCCAGGTGGAACAGTCTCCAGACAACCCCTCCTTCAGTTTCTGTCCAACACTTTGTCTCCATATTTGGAAAGATGTGCCTTTGTTTTCATTAAATTTTAAAAAGTCTTTAATTTCTTTCTTTATTTGTTCCCTGACCAAGGTACAATTGAGTAATGTGTTGTTCAGTTTCCACTTGTATGTGAGCTTTCTATTATTTTTGTCATTATTGAAGACCAGTCGTAGTGTGTGATGGTCTGATAAGATGCATGGGATTATTGCATTTTTTTTTATTTGTTGAGGCCTGTTTTGTGACAAATTATACGGTCAATTTTGGAAAAGGTACCATCAGATGCTGAGAAGAAGGTATATTCTTTTTTTTTTTTTAGGATGAAATGTTCTATAGATATGTTAAATCCATTTGGTTCATAACTTCTCTTAGTTTCACTGTGTCTCTGTTTAGTTTCTGTTTTCATGATCTGTCCATTTCTGAGAGTGGGGTGTTGAAATCTCCCACTATTATTGTGTGAGAAGCAATGTGTGCTTTGAGCTTTGGTAAAGTTTCTTTTATGAATGTGGGTGGCCTCATGTTTCGAGCATAGATGTTCA